GTTTCCATGAATTTTTTTATTCTTCTTTAATTTCCTGGTTGACCCATTCATTCTTTAGTAGGATGCTCTTTAGCCTCCATGTATTTGTGTTCTTTCTGACTTTCCTGTTGTGATTGAGTCCCAGTTTCAAAGTATCTTGGCCTGAAAATATGCAGGGAATGATCCCAATCTTTTGGTACCTGTTCAGACCTGATTTGTGACCCAGGATGTGATCTAGTCTGGAGAATGTTCCATTTGCACTAGAGAAGAATATGTATTCTGTTGCTTTGAGAGGGAATGTTCTGAATATATCTGTGCGGTCCATCTGGTCTAGTGTGTCATTTAAAGCCCCTTTTTCCTTGTTGATCTTTTGCTTAGATGATCTGTCCATTTCAGTGAGGGGGGTGTTAAAGTCCCTCACTATTATTGTATTGTCAGTGTTTCTTTGCTTTTGTTATTAATTGGCTTATATAATTGGCTGATCCCATGTTAGGGGCATAGATATTTACAATTGTTAGATCTTCTTGTTGGATAGACCCTTTAAGTAGGATATAGTGTCCTTCCTCATCTCTTATTATAGTCTTTGGTTTAAAATCTAATTTGTCTGATATAAGGATTTTGGTGTCCATTATCTCCCCCCCCTTTCAATTTGGAGGTGTCTTTGGGTCTCAAATGAATGTCTTGCAGATAAATATGGATGGGTCATGTCTTTTGATTGGGGCATTTAGTCCATTTACATTCAGAGTAACTATTGAAAGATATGAATTTAGTGACATTCTACTGCGTGTAAGGTGACTGTTAACTGTTTATTGTCTCCGTTACTTTTAGGCTCTTTGCTTAGAGGACCCCCCCCCTTCAATATTTTTTGTAGGGATGGTTTGGTGATTGCCAGTCCTTTTAGTTTCTGTTTGTCCTGGAGCCAATGAGGTTTATCCAAGGTATGCTTTACCACTGACTGAAAACTTTTCACCTGGCTTCTAAGACACACATTAATGTGTTTTCGAAGTTTATGTAAATAGGAATAGATAGAATCATATGTTCTATTTGCACCTAACTTCTTTTGCTCATTGTTCTGTTTGGTAGAGTCTGTTATTGGGTGATGCAGTAGTGTGTATTTCATGGGCTTGTGCCTTGGTTCCAGTTTTTGGCTGTTACAAATGATATATTTTGGTGCACAATTGTACACATTTATGTGTAGCATATAAATGGATCTATATTGAATTTTTGTGAAAGGATGTGTATATATTTGACTTTTGTATTATTGCTAAACATTTTCCACTGGATTTGGTGGATTTATAATGTCTCCAAAAGTGTCTGAGAGGTCCAGTTGCTCCGTGTCCCTGCTAAAACGTGGTACTACTGATCCTTCTGTTTGTTTGTTGTAGCCATTCTGGTGGGTAAACTGAAGCAGTTTTAACATGAATTTGAACACCTTCGCTGAAGTATTTGTAAGCTGCAAAGTCACCGGAGAGTAGTAACATGAAGAAGCATCAAGGGAAATAGGGAAAGTGAATGGAGGTTATTAGATGCAAGAAAGGAGCACATGGGAGACCCGCCTGTGGCAATGGGCAGGGTGTGAAAGACAGAGGACAAGCAGTAACTACTAGAACATGATCACTACCAGGAGTAGTGCCAGCAACTAAATTCATGGCATAGAAATGGAGCCCAATGTTGCCATCTTGTTATTTTTGATCGCATTTTCTGATTAGAATTTGGGCAACTAATATCCACCATGAAGGCTGTGAATTCCACTTTGTAATGACTTTTTTCCCCTCTGACTTATTACTAGATCTGGACGAACAAAATAATAGATGACCTTAGGGATAAATACCGACCAATTTTCCTGTGGGTACTGATACTTTTTCCTCCCTCCCTTTTCTTACTTTATTGCACAATTCATTTGTTTAACTTTTGCAGTTCAGCCTACTTGAAATGTTAAAATATAATTAAAAATGGAAATATAGTTATTTGTGTATAGCTCAGGAAAAACAACTCTCTATACGAGCAGAATGACAAAATCAGTAGTGTTTAGAATTTAGAACTGAAAACTTTGAAGGGGCTTCTGCTCTTTTTTTAATAATTAAATTCAGAGTTAGCAGTATGTTTTAAAATGTAAACATCCTTGAGAGGTATCACAAATTAATGTCATTTAATGTATAAATGATTATGAGGAGATTCTTTCATAAATGTAATGAGGAGAAGCGCTCAGGGTGCTAGGAAGCTGTTATCAGGAAGGTAACTTTATCATTTCCTCAAGGCTAAAGTCTATTAATCATACATACTTCAACCTGAAGTGTCTACTGATAAGTTACTTTAACAGATTCAGCATTAGAAAAAAAGTACCTTTTTTACCCCTTCAGTTCTAATGACAACTATATTTCATGTCAGATAGAGCCAGAGAAAAGAAGTTTTGATTATGTTTGACTAACATATGTAATTAAAGTTTTTTGGCAGGAGTGTTCTGAGAGTCATGGGATTCTAGGTCTGGCAATAAATCTGAATTCATTCAATCTAAAATGTGGTAAGAATCTATTTTCAAATGCAATTTCTCTTTCTGAACAACAGGAGTTATCCATGGAGTCTGGAATTGATCCTGGCCAGGAATATGGACAAGATTATTACAGTTATGAGCATGGGTACATCTTCAGATTTTTTTAATCCAGTATCAGTGTTTTTTTAATGACTAATGAGCTATTGAATATTGTTACTAGCATTTGTGTTATAAATGTCACTTCATCTTTTAAAAGGGATTACATATCTACTTTTAGTTTCAATCAAGTTTTATCCATTTTTCTATATTCAGTTCTGGTTTGTTAATATTGACTACAACTCTAATGATGCAGTAAAATCATTCAAAACTATTTAAATGAGAAATAGAAGTCAAACATATTTGCTCAATTCCTGAATTCACCATTTCTGACACATGTTTAACATTTTATCTAACTAGTCAGCCTCAAGATTTGCCCAAGAGAAATTAAGAAAACATACTTTAGAATGCAGTAATATCAAAAGAGGAATGTATACACCATTCCAGACCATGTTTGAAGCAGATCTTCACTGTAAAGATAGAGATGTTATGTCCCGAATAAGCTATGTGTTTTACAAAGAACCTATTTCCTGTTCTAAATTCAACTAATTAAGGAATGATATGCTCTTCTCTAAACACCAGTCTCTCCCAAAACTTAAATCTAAAATAACCTCTTTTTACTATTAATTCTAGGATACCATCATGGCAAAAACCATTGGCCATCGGGTTGTACTTCTCACTCTATGGTTTTATAACTAGTTGACAAGGAGCACAATAGGTGCTGAATGATGAGGACAAAGAAGAAAACAGAGGTCAGTCATGGTTACCAGGATCCCATGGAAACATGTTGAAGGCTGTGAGTTTCTGTTTCAGGTATGAGATGCCTCAATATGGAAGCCGTCGCCGTCTGTTACCACCGGCTGGACCAGAGGAGTATGGTGAGGTAGTTGGTGAAGCCGAGGAGGAGTATGAGGAGGAAGAGGTAATGCCATGATGTTTAACCCTATTTGAATAGCGTGCTGCCAAAAATTTCAAAAATCAGAAATCCTATTCACTTACTACTCTTTTTTCTGTAGAAATTTAATAACATGGACCATTTCATTGCCTTGTGTGTAGAAGGAAATTAATTCTGCAAATTTAATTTATTTCCTTCTATAAAATGTTAAATGCCTAGAATAAAGTTAACATTATAATCAAATATATTAAAACTATTTTGCAAAACGATGGTTACTTTGGTTCCCACGTTGTCGGGCATACCTAAAAATCATGGAAAAGTACAGTTATCAGAAGCAAAATATTACCACCAATATGTTTAATGGAATTCTATTATGCATGTTTTAATTAACATGAGTCATTTATATACTTTGCCTATAATTATTACTTGGAACATTTATTCAAAACAAAAACAAAATAAATGTCACTGTAGCTTTACCCTGTTCAAAAGTAAGAAAATATCACATGAACTATTCAGATAAAGTATCATAATCTCCTGATTATATAAAGAAAACATATGAAACTATTAAAGTGTAGGGAGGGAGAGAGGAGAGGTGATGATTACTTCTTTCTCCTTTGATCTAAGATGTAAAATAAATTCTGAATGAGAAAAAAAATTGGAAAACCTCAGCTTTTAGTATTAGAAAGTACAAGCCAAAATACTTTCCATCTGTATGCGGTGGGGATGAACCGTGGAGAACTGGGTGCTTATTCTCTGAACCTAGTTATAACCCTGCAGAGTCATCCCTCCTTGACCTGTGTGGGACAAGGTCACATCACAACCATCCCCCCGCTGACGGTTCAATTGCATTTTCGTGATTTTCAGGAAGAGGCAAAGAAAATTAGAAAACCAAAAGTCCAAGTTAGAGAGCCTAGTGAGGAGGAAGAAGTAGTGGTCACCATTGAGAAGCCACCACCAGCCAAACCCACGTACACAACATGGAAGAGAGCCAGGATCTTCCCAATGATTTTCAAGAAAGTTAGAGGTCTCGCTGACCAAAGGGGCCTCGCCGAACTTGAGGGGGAAGAGTGGCAGAGACACCTTGAGGAGGTGGATAAAGATTATCTGAAACTCACTCTGGACCAAGATGAAGCCACGGAAAGCACAGTGGAGTCGGAGGAGTCATCGTCCAGTGACTACACTGAGTACAGTGAGGAAGAATCCGAGTTCAGCGAGTCAGAGACCACTGAAGAGTCGGAGTCAGAGACACCTTCGGAGCAGGAAGAGAGCTCGACTCCTGAGTCTTCAGAAGAGTCAGAGTCCACAGAGTCAGAAGGGGAGAAGGCCCGGAAAAACATCTTTCTGGCCAGAAGGCGGCCCGTCGTTCAAGAGGTCAAGGAGGTCAAAGGGAGAAAAGAGGAGCCCCCTGAGGAGCTGGAGGAAGAGCCCAGGGTGGAGGAAGCAGGAGAGGAGAGTGAGCAGGTCCTTGAGGAGGAGCCAGCAGGCCTTGAGGTCCCTGAGGAGGAGGAGGAGGGCAGTGTGGAGTCGGCGTCGGTGGGGGCAGGTGGGGACAGCGAGGAGGACTCTGAGCCGGGCCGCAGTGTCAGCAGCAGCGAGAGTCAGTCCGGAGGGCCATGGGGCTTCCAGGTGCCCGAGCAGGCCACCAGCAAGAAAGCACCCCGGGAGCAGCCCCCAGGAGCCGACTCTGAGGGTGACAACACAGCTCTCTGAGCCAGGGCCCAGGAGGTGGGAGTTTGCTGTGGCAAGTGCTCTTGTGTGCCGTGCTTTCTGTGTGCTCTCTGCAATGACAAGCCAAGGGAGGAACATGATCGTGACCTCTAGCTGACCTAGGATTAGAGGCATGCCCGGAAAGGGAGCATACGAGCGCTACAAGTAGACTTGTACATCAGAGTGCATTAGGGTCAGACTGACTCATCTTCCTCTATTAGCCATTTCCAAGACAAATCATGAGTCGATAGTATCTCCTAGTGGAATTTCTGTGAATCCACTATGGCATTATGCATTACCAGTGATGCCCTGCCTGGTCAATGGATTTTAGGACTACCTGGGGCTGTTTTTATTTCATCTGTAGACAATAAATCCTTAGGATAAAACCGGCAACAAATGAGACCTCTTAAAAGTCTACTTTTGCATATATGTACATTTCAACTGGCAAAAGTATTATAAAAAATATCACGAACATGTTCAAATGGGTTTGTATTAGGAGATAAATGAACTTAAAAGTTTTTACCATTTCTTTTCTTTTCCATTGTGGATATGAGTTAAAGTGGATGTAGGAAAAAAACTGAATTTTTACAAAACTTTTTTCTGGGTAAGTAAACATAGTAAATTTGAAATATATATCTGGAAATCAAAAAGCATGGCTTACTTAGTCCAACCCATTGGTAGTTCACATATTCTAAAAATGTGATACTATTTTGAGAGTAACCTAGTATTGGTTAACCTTTGCTCTTTGCCATATCTCATGTGGGTTGGTAAAAGAAAAATAAATTTGTAGACATGTCCATTGTGTTCCAGTTGCCTACTAGAGGAAAGTTTACAATCATTCGTTTTCATTTTTGTGTATTACTGAATCAATGATTCAGGATGGGAAAATACTTTCTTTCAAGTTCACATATATTTAAATAAAATGATCCAGAAAACCAGGATACGTCACGTGAATACAAAAAGGATACAAAAATTGTGGCTATTATATTAGCAATTAGAATGATGTGGGTTAAAAACATCTTTAAAATTTGGGAAAAGGAAGTATTAGTATGAACAGAATATACTAATACTGTGTGTTCCCTTCTATTGAACTTCTCGGAAGAGTAGAGCAACTGTAGAGCAAACAATGGATCAGATCCTTACCTAAATATAAATAATAAACCTTTTTTTTTTCCCATATAGAGCAGTACTTTGATCTAAAAAAATACAAGTGCTTCCTGAAATGTCTGCTTTTTTTTTTTTCTTTTTTTTTTTGAAATGTCTGCTTCTTAACCGAGCAACACTGTCTTCAGAAGTGAAGCTCTAAATCAGTGGACAGTTGGCGGGAAGGAATGTGCTGTTAATAATATTGAGTTTCTTCTCTCCCTTTTGAGTTCTTTAACCTTCTATGGCTTTCTATCAGCGTTTCTGAATTTCACAGACCTTGTCATTGTTGCCCCTTTCATTCCTTTGACAGTGACTCCTTGTTTTTGATTTTGGCAGTGGGCGAGAAAAAGAATGATCAGGTTAGTTGTGGATCGCGAGTACGAAACGAGCTCCGCCGGAGAAGACAGTGCTCCGGAGTGTCAGAGAAGCCGCCCTCACCGTCCCACCACACACAGTAACATCAACGGCGACATCTACATTGCCCAGAACGGGTCTGTGGTGAGAACCCGCCGTGCCTGCCTCACTGACACCTTAAAAGCAACTTCCCCTGTCCGACTGGGGAGGCATTTTAAGAAACTTGACAAGTTGGCAGTGACACACGAGGAGAATGTCCCCCTGAACACGTTATCGAAGGGGCCGTTCTCTACCGAGAAGATGAACACGAGACCCACTCTGGTTACGTTTGCCCCTTGCCCTGTGGGGACCGACGGTACCGCAGGGAAGCCATTGGGGCCCAGGCTGAAAAGCACAGTTGAACAGGAGTCCATGGTTGACAGTAAGAACATCAAGGAGACTTTGGAATTCCCTAGTGACCACACGCGCTCAGACGACGAGGAGCTTTGGATGGGCCCCTGGAACAACCTCCATATACCAATGACAAAACTGTGACTGATTTTTTTAAAAAGTTATTTTGATTTTTACTTCAGTTTTTAATAAACTGTGCTTTTTATTGTCACTGAGAAAATGATGTATGGGATTTATATCATGCACACAAGCTAAAACTTTGAACAATATGCTTTAAAGTTTAAAAAGAGACAAATTTGCACTCGCCTTTGTATCAATTAATTGTTCTTCCCAGAAAATCTTTCTGGACAGACTCTCAATTCTCTGAATAACATATCATTTAAACTTACCATTTAGCTGTTTTGTTGGATCTTTAATTTTTTTTCATTTTAATAAATGAGAAATAGTAAGTTATCATTTCTATTTTGTCAGTTAACCTAGATTAGTCTTCAGCTCTATCTTCACAGAACACTTTTTGGCACATGTTGTGAATTTAGTTTTCATAAAAATGGGAAAAATTATATTAGAGCATTTTACAGGTAGTGGGTTTATACAGTTGCCGTCTATACCATCCTGATTTTTTTAAAGGAAAGAATTACAGAGTGATAGCAAACGTGAGAATCTTCTGTAAATTACTGAGAATCATGAGCCTATTTTCCTTATTGTCCAACATAGTTTTTCAGATTTTTACATATGCATTTGTTGACCTTTTAAATAACACTTGAAATTGTATCTCTTTTATAAATACTATTCACAACTTTCCCTGGCATCTCCCCCACTCTGACCCCTTCGCACACATACTTCACAAACACTCTATCCACACCAAACATAGTAGGTGATTTAGTTTCTCCATCTGAAGTTAAATAATTTCTGGAGCATCACAGAAATCTCACCCTCAGCAAAAGCTTACTGAGGGAGGAAAGGATCAAATAGGCAATAATGCATCTAGAACCACAACTTCAGTATGGAAGATGTAGTAAGATCAGAGAAGTCTCACATTAATGTCATTGGTCATGAATATTTTATAAACTCAGTATAAAGGCATTTGGCAGGGTCAAGAATTTATATAATAGGTGAAATGCCTATGAAGGGTATAAATCCATAGCTTCAATCACTTCTCCCAGGTACAGCTTATTTATAGAATATTTTAATACCCATAATATTTATGTGCGTATAGTGCAGAACCACAATATGATTGCCTGGGCATTTTTTTTTTTAATCAAAAAACACAGTTTTGATTTTTTACCACTGAACAAAGCACAGTGTTTCATCATTAACAAAAATGAAAACCAAGTATTCTTTCCAAAAAAACAAAAAACAAACCCAAGAAACTTGCCTTGTGTGTTGCATACTCTCCAGATGTTAAAAGGATGACACGATATGAGAGAAAATTCAGAACTGTATTGAATATGACTTCGTATGATACTGAGTTCACCTCAAATTTTGCACAGTATTGACCAAGTTCAGATTTCAATAAAATTCTCATGCATGCTTATTATATGGTTGAAAGAGACTGAATAATGCACTATTAATTTCTCTCACCTGTTTCATAGTTTAAAAATAGTTGATTATAATGCTGTTTCCTTATTTCCAAAGTGAATGAATTGTATGTAACATGAACTTGCTAACTGATGTAACTAGTATGGTTTAATTTCAGGTTTCAAAAAGTACTTGAGATCAAATGCAGGAACATCTCATTTATCTGACATTATTGGAAATCAGTGCCTTCTATACCCTTACTGGAAAAACTGCCAGCATTAACTGGAAAGAAATATGGCATTCTAACATTAGGTTGTTAGAAATATAGTCTTGCTCACACCCCCAGGTTGTACTAAACAAAAATCCACGTTCTCACAAGATCCCAAGGTGGTTGGTACGCGTATTAAATTTTGACAAAGAATGACCCATACCACTGAACTCCAGAGCTTACTCCTTAAAGCACCAAAGCAATTGTTTTTAGTATAACATACATCGGATAGAAGTTAGATTGTGCATATTATATTTTCCTACCTGTTCAGTCAGAGATCACTAACTATACTATTTCCCTAACGTCTGAGGGTCATCTCACCTAGCATCCCATGATGGTCTCTGTGCAAAGAGCTTTATCTGTTTTTCTTCCTCCCTTTTCAGGCTGTGGTATTTAACTAATTTTGTCACTTTGCCTCTCTCTAAAATATATCTTCCAGTTTATTTCTAATTTCCTGGTGAGAAAGTCTGTGTCTTTGTTTTGCATATTATTGAAAAATTATTAAACCCTAGATAGGGATCAGGCATGTGGATTCAAACAAAAGTCTGGCAATTCGCAGAAGCTTTTTGGGATCGCTATTGGGATCTGAGTGCTGTCTGAGAGATCTGAAGTTGGCCGAAAACTAAAGTCTAGATAATATGAGATGTCACTGTATTTTAAGGTTCACTTTTTACAAGGAAACATCAAAATATCACAAGCTACTTAGCAGACACATTTGAGCAATTTCCAGTTGACCGCTTCAGTAAAAACAATAAAGCTAAGCAGTATTCACACAGAGCAACCAAACCAAACATTTGGTCAGTATATTTTGAGGTAAAGTATACACAGCAGCAAGAACAGTACCAACTAAATAAGTCTGGACTGAATCAGTTACTTGATAGGACTTTCACTGTTCTAGAACACTCTGACTCAGGATTAAAATTGTGGAACCCAGGGGAGATGCCCACATAGTTTAAATTTAATACTTGATATAAATGATGTTTCTATGAACTTATAAAGAAATTGGTGGTTGTTTTTCCTAGATAGGCATAGTGATCGTTCTTAGTCAGTACTGGCTTTTGATCAGGAAGAAGGAACAGGAGATCCCAGCTGGTTAAGATGAGAACCAACTGATAGGACTCTCTTATTGCTAAACCTGCAGATTTCGGAAGGTCTCGAGGGCAGGAAGGGCGGGGGGAGGAAGAAGGAAAACTAAGTTGACAGAACATTTGTGACTCTATGGCCATCAGCTCACAGATGCCAACCTCTGAGCCCAGCCTTCTCATTTTCATTAATTATAGACGCTGAGTTGTTATAGAATCATAACTGTAGGTTAGCCAAAAGCATCTTTTTAAATCCAGAAAAAAAGAAGTTTGCCTTGAATTTTACATGTGATACATCATTTGTGTTATTAGGCCACTTTGTAGCTTTTTGGGTTTGTTTTTGTTTTTGTTTTTTTAGACATTGTTAACAGGGCGGTTAAAATGTATTATTTATCCTATGTAGTTCTTCCAAAGGGGATATGGTGGACACTATTAAAATATCATTAATTGCATTTATGGATCATAGAGCCTGAAAAAAAAAAACTGAATTTTGATGCTTGAGGGAAGACATGTTCTTTCTTTTATTTCATGAGTTTTTCTTTTTCTCTTGTTCTGCTCCACTGTCTGCACTCTGCCCCAGAAGTGCACCTTCTGTACACCACGTCAATTAATTCGTAAAATAGGCAGAAAGTGCTAATAATCTATTCTCAGGGCAGATGCACACTGGTGCCTGCAAATAACACAGCGATAGGCTGAGGGATAGGTTCAAAATAATATTGAGGACCTCTATTTTTATTGATTGTTTCTTTCTCTTTTCAAATGATACCATGAATTCCTTTGGTTTACTTTTCTCTCTTTTGTTTTTGCATTTGTGGACCTCGATCTTTATAATGATCTTTACTCTTTAGATTCATTTTTCACTGCAATCTACTTTAAATTTATGGTAAGTTAAGCACATGTATGGAAGATGTGAACTTTGTCTATGGTTTGGGAAATTATCAACACATTCACTGCTTTCCCAATTTCTTTATTCAAACACCTGTTTTTCCTTAACAAATATGTTACTGTATGAGGAATATGAATTAGAAACTTTCAGTTAAAATGCATTGTTACTCACCACACAATGTTTCAAAAATAAATTTCCATTTGAAAAAAAAAAACTGTTTCTCATTATTCTGTCAGGTGAGGATAAAAATCAGTAACTATTTTCCCATTTACGTGTTTAATATTTCAGTTTGATAGTACAAAGGAAAACCTGCTCTGCAGACTCTTATCTTTGAATGATGCAGAGAAGGGAAGTGTCCTTAAAACCCTCATCCTTTTATAGACATTTCAGTCATGTACACAAGTCACCAAATTCTAAGAAGGATGGACACGGTATTTCCTAAAATACTGGCTGTTTAAAAAACTATATAATCACTTAAACACGAAAGTGTTCATATACAATCAGTTACATTCATAGAAATGCTAAATAGGGAGCAACTGGGTGGCTCAGTCGGTTAAGCGTCTGCCCTCGGCTCAGGTCATGATCCTGGGGTCCTGGGATCAAATCCTGCATCAGGCTCCTTGCTCAGCGGGGAGTCTGCTTTTCCCTCTCTCTGTCCTTCCCCCCACTGGGGCTCTCTCTCTTTCTTTTTCAAATAAATAAATGAAATCTTAAAAAATAGAAATGCTAAATAGAATAACTATATCAAAAAGCATGGTTGACATGAAGTTACATTATATCTTTAACATGATAGAAGGCTGATGTTTCAGAGATTTACAATTTGTACACCTCTATCTATATCTAATTTTCCATCTATCCACCTGACTCGTATTTCCCTATTATAACTTTGTAATGCAGCTGATGATATAATAATGTCAATCGCCTTTTCTCTCAAACAATCAGGATCGGGAAGGATACATTTTCTAAGACAGCCATCGTGAATAGAGAGAGAATTCCTGGTCCTTTGCCATTCTGGTGTTCATCACAGACAGATATCTCTGTATCCCTGTATTTCTAGAGCCTACATGCCCTACATGAACAACAGCTGTTAAGGAAAATATTGAGTGAGTTCATTCTTGGCCCAATATTGTGTAACTTTGGGCATGTCATTTTACAATTTGCCCCCTTCATTGGAATATGGCAATAATAACATTCACTAAGAGGTAAAATTGGATATTTAATCTGAACCTATTTTGACATCTCTATAATGCTACATGTACAGAACAAAAGATTAGAAAATTTCCTTTGCATTCTTCTTCATAAATAGGCCTTCTAATATTTTACTGGCTAAATGCCAGTATACTTTATGTTTTTTTTTTTTAAGATTTTATTTATTTATTGGACAGAGACAGTGAGAGAGGGAATACAAGCAGAGGGAGTGGGAGAGAGAGAAGCAGGCTTCCCACTGAGCAGGGAGCCCAAGGCGGGGCTCAATCCCACGACCCTGGGATCATGACCTGAGCTGACAGCAGACGCTTAACAACTGAGCCACCCAGGCGCCCCAATGCCGGAATACATTTTATCAATCTATTCCATATAGTAGGTATTCTAAGTTACAGGTATAGGTCTTCAAAGAGAAAGATAAATTTATAGAATTTCTCCCTAGGACTTGAGCTTCTGTGTATAAAAAAAAAAAAGCACCAGTGAATGTGTACAAGGGACCACTGTGAGGTCTCGTCCAAAACCTGCTTCATTTTCATCTAAACACGTACCTTAAATGCATCTTTCATGTAATCACTGAATTACAATGGTTCTTTTGAATTTGTTGTGAAAGAGAAGGTTTTTATCAAAATCTGTCCCTGTCACCTTAATCTCAACATCATGATTTACATAAAGGAGCGTACTGATGAAAGATGGTATGGAAATATCAATATCTGTGATTCTGGGTCCCTTTGCTACCTACTTCCCAGGAGATTTTTTTACCTCTGCCATCTCCTATAAAGAATTCTGATCTCTTGGGCGCCTGGGTGGCTCAGTCGGTTAAGCGACTGCCTTCGGCTTAGGTCATGATCCTAGGGTCCTGGGATCGAGTCCCGCATCGGGCTCCCTGCTCTGTGGGGAGCCTGCTTCTCCCTCTCCCACTCCCCCTGCTTGTGTTCCCTCTCTCGC